TTTTTTAATAATGTGTTTTTTTTTGTTGTCATTTTTTAACTAATGTAACCTGTAAATCATAACTCCCATATAACACTAAATGTAATGGCAATAGTGACATTAACAACTAGGAAAATTAAAATGACCTTTAAATTACAATATCATATGAAAATAATAGAATTTGAGCTTTGGGCACAGTGGCATGATGTAATCCAATCCAGAGGTGACACCATCTCAGGACTGAGCCAGGTTAGAGGTCACTAAGTAGAGATTCTGTCTGATTCTGTGGTATCACTCAGGGCCGGTCTTAGGTGTTCCGGTGCCTTGTGCGAGCCAATCTTGTGGTGCCCCCCCCCCCACTCTTGCCGTCTGTTTAGAGGTGTTACATTCACAATCTGCTGCCTCCATCCCTTCTACAAAACTCTGCCCTCCTTCTCCAAACCCTTTCCCCCTTTCATCAAGCCCATGACCACCCCTTCATCAATTCCCTGCCCTCTTCATCAAACCCCTGCCATCCCTTTCATCAAGTTCCCTGCCCCTTCATTAAATCCCCAGCCCTCCTTCAACAGTCCCCTGCCCAACCTTCAACAGTCCCCTGCTACCTGCAACAGTCCCCAGCCAACCTTCAACAGCCCCTTTACTAATCCCCTGCCTCCCTTCATCTTATCCCCAGCCCCCCTTCACCAGTCCCCTGCCCCCTTCACCAGTCCCCAGCCCCCCTTGATAAAACACAATCTATTTAGTAAAAAAAAAAAAGCAATAAGAACAAGCTCTCACATTAAAGGCTGCTGCTCCCTGGATCCAGCTATCAGTTTCCAACGCCGCTGAGTCGCAGACTAAAGAGCACCTGCCACCACCCTCACACACTGAGCAAATTCTTCCACGGCTTCCTGAGAAGCTGGAGCATGTCGACATCATGCCCCCATGCTCCTCTTCCCCCACGCACTGGACCTCTGCATCACCCGTGTGGATTCCTGGCCGCAGCTCTCCCCTCACCATTCGCAAGTCACGTGCACAGCAGCACTATGCAGTTGACTTGCTCTGCACTGCAGACACATAACTTGGGCCAACTGTGAGCCAACTGTGAGCTGTTTTGGCCACCTGGTGCCACTGTTGCCATGGCGTCCTGTGTGGCCACACAGCTCACACACCTCAAATATCATATAAATCATTGCATTATTGCATTATTGCATGTATAAACTTACCTAAAGGCTCACCACACAAACCTCATAAATGTGACCTATTTGTTAGAAGGAAACCTATTGTAAGCAACTGGGAGGAACTGAAAGAACAGAAACCCAGGTTCCTATACTATTTTTTGGACTAATTTACTAATATTTTTACCTGAGGAGGAAACACAAACTAAACAGCTATAGAGACAAATGAACAGCTGCAGGCATGAATTTTAGAAGCAAATGGGGATTTGAACGACTTTGAACGACTGACAGATTAAACTGTTTAAACTATAAGCTTCCATTTGTACCCCATATGCCATTTGTCATCACCAGTGGGGGAAGGTTCAAAACAAATCCAGACAAGGTGGAATACATAGAAGAGGCATACCCAGGTAGTCACCTTATGGAAGTGCTCTTTGCTGTGTCTTCATTGAAAAGTGGATTAGCTCCAGCTTGGCCTCATGTATGCAGTGGACTGCCTTCATCCCCTGAGGTCTCCCAATAGTTGGGTCAAACTTCTAGTCATTCAAGGAGGTACTCAGGCTGGTGAATCATAAAGATGTGCTGTTGCTGGGTTAATTTAGGGATTAGAGGCTGAACCCTAAGCAGTGTATCTCATTCATCCCCTGAGGGAGAGAGTTGAGTCAGACCCCCAGTCACTAAAGGGGTTACCCAGGTTGGTGATTCATAGAGATGTGCTGTTGCTCGGTCTTCAGGAATAAGAGGCTGAGCCCCGGCATGTATGCTTTCATACCCTGAGGGAGAGATTGAGTCCAACCCCTGGTCACTAAAGGGGTACCCAGGCTGGTGACTCATAGCTGTTGTTGGGTTATCAGGGCTTAGAGGCTGAGCTCTGGCAGGACTACAAAATTGCATGGTGAGTAGAGTTGAGCGAACCCGGACTGTAAAGTTCGGGTTCGTACCGAACATTAGGTTTTTTGGACCCCGGACCCGAACATGGACATATCACTGTATGTTCGTGTTGGAGTTTGGTGTTCGGCGATTTACTGGCGCATTTTGAAAGGCTGCAGGGCAGCCAATCAACAAGCGTTTGACTCGTGTGCCCTTAGAAGCCATCAAAGCCATGCCTACTAATGGCATGGCTGTGATTGGCCAGTGCAGCATGTGACCCAGCCTCTATATATAAGCTGGAGTCGCGTAACACCGCACGCACATGCAGTCTTATTAGTGTAGGGAGAGGATGCTGCTGATGATAGGGACAACTTAGGAAAAAATTCTGCAAACTAGTACATTAGTGGGGTGGGGTGCACTTCATATCTGAGAGTCAAATAGAAGCTTCAAATACCGCGGTTACATCAGAGATTTTAAAAAGTAAACATTTTTTGGTGCTAAGTAGTACATTAGTGGGATAGTACATTAGTGGGGTGCACTTCATATCTGAGAGTCAAATAGAATGGTCAAATACTGCTGTCACATTGCAGTTTTAAAACTTAAATTTTTTTGGGTGCTAAAAGGTACATTAGTGGGATGCACTTCATATCTGAGAGTCAAATAGTAGCGTCAAATACTGCTGTCACATTACAGTTTTAAAACTTTAAATTATTTGGGTGCTAAACTTCTAAATAGTATTTTAGTGGGGTGCATTTCATATGTGAGAGTCAAATAGAAGTGTCTAATAGTGTGCTTCCAGTGCAGTGGAAAAAAATCTTATTTTCTGGGTGCTAATCTGCTAAATAGTACATTTTGGGGCATGCACTTCATATCTGAGAGTCAAATAGAAGCGTATAATAGTGTGCTTACAGCGCAGTGGAAAACATTCTTATTTTCTGGGTGCTAATCTGCTAAATAGTACATTTTGGGCGTGTTCTTCATATCTGAGAGTCAAATAGAAGTGTCTAATAGTGTGCTTACAGTGCAGTGGGAAAAATTCGTATTTTCTGGGTGCTAATCTGCTAAATAGTAAATTTTGGGGCGTGCTTTTCATATCTGAGAGTCAAATAGAAGCGTCTAATAGTGTGCTTACAACACAGTGGAAAACATTCTTATTTTCTGGATGCTAATCTGCTAAATAGTACATTATGGGCATGCTCTTCATATCTGAGAGTCAAATAGAAGCATCTAATCCTGCAGTTACAGTGCAATTGTAAACATTCTAATTGTTTTGCTGCTTATCTGTTGCTTACATTGGAGTTTTAAAAAGTCTAATTTTTTTTGGGTGCTAAAAAGTATATTTGGGGTGTTCACTTCATATCTGAGAGTCAAATCGAAGCGTAACTTTGATTCAAATGTACTACATCAGTCACTTGTAATATTGTTTCACACCTACAACACTTGTTACACAGATCTAAGTGATAGAAAACAGATTAATATTTTCTACACTAGAAACTACCAGATAACAAGCTGCTATATTTAAATCAGTTATCAATAGCTAAGAGGTACTTAAACAATATTGTCATTCTGGGGCAATACTCTCACAAGTCAAACTGAAAGGTTAGTTTATAGGGAAAACTGTTGCCTGGATACAATTCTAAAACAATTTCCATATGTCCTTTGCAGACTTTACATACTGGAAAAACACAGGTGCCAACTGCTATGGCTTTCTGCAGTGTGCATACCGGCAAGGATGGCAGGGTTGAGGAGTGGGTGGAAGATGATGTGGAGGATGATGAGGTCGTAGACCCCACATGAAATCAAGGTCATGCG